GCTATCTCTGGCACTGGCTTGTTGAGTTACCTGCCTTCCACCATATTTGCCCATATTTACTGCATCTTTAGCATATTTCTGTAAGTAGTTTGTACTTTCTCCACTTGTAGAACTATTTGCATTTACATCCAGGGACAGACACCCTGACAGGGCAAATGGCAACTGCAGAAGAGTAACTTTTTTATATCATGCTATTTTTCAATAGCTCCCCAGTCAATAAATCTTTCATCCCAATCCTAAATGTATATCAAGCACCTATGAAGTGAAGCCGTTAGCATGTTGAACTGCATCTGTTATTTTAGGGGAAAAGGGTGGATTATGAATAGTGATACCGAACTGCAAGAAAATGCTCAGCAGAGCTAAGGACAGTTAGAAAGCTTCAGGTTTTACCCTTTCTGGAGCTGCATGTCCAGGAGACTCTTTTTGCCTTGTACATACTTGTGTGCAGTGGGAGAGTCTGTGACAAGGAGATCTAAAACAAACAGTAGCAAAGGTGGTTTTGCAAACTTCTCTTGGTCAGAATTTCTGGCACCTTCTGAAAGGGTCAAGTTTCAAGTGGGGTAACAATCCATTGCTAAATGTATTTGTGTTGCACATTCAGACATTTATTTTGGAAGCTGTTCTTATAAGGTACGTTGGGTATCCATAATGGATATCATGCACCAGGGAAGGTTGTACCACACAGATTTATGACCTCTTTCCATAAAGCCTAAAAACAATTCTCATTTTAAAAACTATGTAGTTGGCACCAACTAAACCTTAAAAGCTAAACTTTCCAGCTAGACTGAAATTCCCATAATGTACATTCCAGAGGGAACAGAAGACATGAGAGATTTACATGTCCAGGAGATCACCGAGAAGTCTGGCTATTTGGACAACTGTTTTAATTATTATAGAATTCTTCTAGGAAATATTAGATAAAACAGCAACTCTTCATAAATCAAATTAAACACAAAGTCTTTTTTTCTCAGTATTAGTTTTCCTTCAGTGCTTACTCTGAGATAAATATTTTACTTAGATAGACAGTCAGGCACAGGTATTTGAGCAGTTTGATCCCGCAAGCTGCTCAAAACCTCTCTTAACGACATTAACAATTATATATTGCTAGTATTTACAGGAAACAGATACTTGATGAAGAAAAGGTAGAGAACAGGGGTTTGTATTAGCAATAGTTGCTTGATTTTAACTGTATTGAAATTTGGTTGGTAAAGGTGAGAAAGTTGATGAAGCAGACTTCTCTAAGGCATTTGTCTTGCTGCCACATGGCATCTTCATTAAGTGAGTGATACAAAATAAACATGCTATATATTGAGAGAATGAAGACCTAGCTATCTGGCATGACTAAAATAAAATTGTAAATAGGGAATCATTATTAAGGAGGTGTATTTCCAGAAAGGTCCTGAAGTTATTGATTCTTCGGATTGTGCCACCTAAAATTTTTATCAATGACTTGGAAGAAAACCAAGAAGATAGAACATCAGTGATAAAGCTTGTAACATTTTGAGAAGAGGAAGTAATGAACATGTAACATGCATGGCTAAGTTCATGCTACAGAGTTATCTGAACTGTTGATAAACCAGGTTTAAGCAAACAACTTACTTTTCAGCACAGTCACAGTAACATTATTTTTTTAGGAACAAACTATTGCCCATAATTGCAGAATGAGATTTCTGAATGGGAAGCAGTGTGGTGGATTGTGAGCTGAATCTCAGCTGTGTCCCTCCACCTCCCAGAGCACTAAGGTACCTCTTAGATGAATAAATAGAATTCAGTAGAAGGGCAGCCACTGGCTTAACTGGAACCTATAAGTTCTAGTGAGAATGATGACTTCAAACTGAAAGGTTCCTTCATTCTTTCTGACACACACGTAGCTGACAGACTGACAAACTCCCTTTTGCAGTATAAGGACTTTGCTTTTAGTCCTGTTGTGAGGTATGGTGGCTTTTTGTGAGTTGCATTCATTTGCTGAAGTTATTTTTTAATTATTATGATCACCTATTGCCTTGTGAAAGGATAAAGAGAATTGGAAATGGAAAGGATCTGGACATTGGATAATGGGAGATAGGCAATGCAGGGAGCATTGCAAATTTTTTGTATTTCACTACTGAGAAGTATAATAGGATGTAATGTCTGCAAGTGATTTGTAAACAAAGACTGGATGTTTTTCTAGCAATATACTCCAGTTTAAACAAGAATTAATCCAAGAAGTTCATGTAATGTGTATTCTAAAGGAGATCAGAACAGATTATCACAATAGTCTATTCTGCTTTTATAATCTGGCCTTAAATATATAAGCATTTTAAAAATAAATCAAGATTGGACATGAAGCAGTAACATGCCTATATTATTCTCCGACTGTTACTTGGAGTGAAAGAAAATGTATCTTGCTTGATAATACTGAAATTGGAAGAGTCTGAATAAAACAGTGTTATATATATATTTTTTTTTTCTATTTAGCATGCATGTTAACAGAAAAAGACACACTTCACATCTTTTTAAAGTGCAAATATATAACTAAATAAATATAAGAAACAATTAGATAGCCATGTGAATAAGGACTTTGCCTGAAATTCCTCTCTTTCTTCATTTAGATATATTCTAGCAGGAGTAGGGAAGTGATCGTACCCCTGTACTTGGCACTGGTGAGGCTGCACCTCGAGTATTGTGTGTGCAGTTCTGGGCCCCTCACTCTAAGAAGGACATTGAGGTGCTGGAGCGTGTCCAGAGGAGAGCTACCAAGCTGGTGAAGGGTCTAGAGAACAAGTCATACAAGGAGTGGCTGAGGGAAATAGAGATGTTCAGTTTGGAGAAAAGGAGGCTGAGGGGAGATCTCATTGCCCTCTACAACTACCTGAAAGGCATTGGTAGTGAGGTGGGTGTTGGCCTCTTCTCTCAAGTAAATAATGACAGGACTGGAGGAAGTGGTTTGAAGTTGCAGCAGGGGAGGTTCAGATTGGATATTAGGAAGAATTTCTTTACTGAAAGAGTGGTCAGACTCTGGAACAGGCTGTCCAGGGAGGTGGTTGAGTCACCATCCTTGGATGTATTCAAGAAATGTATAGATGTGGCACTTCAGGGCATGCTCTAGTGACTGAGATTGTAGGTTGGCTGTTTGTGGCTTTTTGGGGTTTTTTTTGTTTGTTTGGTTTGGTTTGGTTTGGTTTGGTTGGACTCAGTAATCTCAGAGGTCCTTTCCAACCATGACCATTCTGTGATTCTGTAATACTCTGTTAGTGCAGAGGTGTAAGGCTAAGTGAGAAGAACAAGGAAAGTATTAAGAATACATAAACAACCTGAAATCTGACATTTTCTAATGTCTGAAATCTTTATTAGCACAATATTGTAGCCTTTCTTTTTATGCTTACCACTTTCATTTCTAAAAAGCAAACAGAAAAAAAAAATTGTCTCTCAATTAAATTATACTGCTCTGTCAGTGGATATTAGCAAGGCTGGGTTCTGCAATTCCATTCTCAGAGCTCTGCTAGTGGAGCTATCAAAGTCTGCCTAATTCAGACCTGTCCCTTATATTCACAGTCTCTTTCAGGCTTAGCTGTTTCCTGATTTTTCTTCAATCTCTCCTTTTGTCCCATTCCTCCTAATCTGTTTAACTTCACCTCCTCCTTCATCTCATTAACTAGAGATCTTCCTTTTAATTACCAGGCTCTTTGAAAAGTTTCCGTTTTTGGTCATTCCCTTTGAGTCCTCGGTCCTGGCTCCTTCTCAGACCCTTTTCTCTCCCATTCTGGATTCAATTCCTACCCTCCTTACCAATCAGCTCCATCTCTCCAGTATCCCCAGGCTTCATTTCATGCTGGTCTCCATTTTTAAGCTGGCTCTAATCAGTCTGTTGGCTCTATCAATCCGCGTCATCATTTCTTTGATTTCCTCTTCTTACATCCTCAGTCTCACCAGATTCATGCTTCTGGTATCTCCTTTGGCCTAGTCTGTTTTCTCTCCTTTTTTTTCATTCCTGTCAGACAAACCCATCCAACACTATCCTTCATGCTGCCTTCTTGCTAAGGCAAAGCTGTGTCCCTGAGGAATTTGGCTGAAGTGGGGAGCTGATGGAGGAAAATTGGAAGTCTAGAAAATGTACCAGCAGCTCTAACTGTAATGAAAAAATACCTATAGGAGAGTGACGGGGAAAGAAGAAGCAACAGGGTGCTCTTGACAATATAATCTGGTCTAAAAGTTAAGAAACCAGACTTTGAATTAACATTTCAGGACCTGCTCCTACCCCTGCCATGACCCTCATACAACTTTCTGCAAGTCCCTTGGTGTCAGGTCCATTAAAAGATGCAGATATTCTGATGTAAAACACACTAATGGTGAGCTTTCAGGCCCTTCATCCCTAGTACCTGCAGGTCTATGTCAGGCAGTTAGGCTTTATAACCAGTACATTAGGAGATACTTCAGAGACAAAGACAACTTGAATTTCAGAAACATTAAGCATTTGAAAATTCAACTTGTCCCTCAAATTTAAGGCCATTTGCTCAGTAAATCTGTACATTACTTTCATTATTGACAAAATAATAACTATGATCATCTTGTGAATGTTGTAAAGCATACCTCATGCATTTGTAAGATCTCTCTACAGAAACAGCTTTCTGAGTGCAAACCACAGCTATGATTATGAATGAGAAACATATTTTTAGAAGAGAAAAAGGCCACAAAAAGAGATAGATAATATCATCAGTAGCTGTAAGTATCAATCCTTTAGTCAGATTATCTATCTGCTGTTTTAAAGACTGTTTACTGCTGTAGTCAAAAGCCGGAAAGCTGTGGCAGATAGCAGATGTACCAATTAATAACCTGTCAAGGCTAATGGATAGAATGAAGAAATAAAAAATCACATATATCTCCTGTGTGTTTTTTTTCCCCACATTTCAGGTCATTGGGGGTCATGAGATAGACTCTGCCTCCCAGGAGAGAGACAAAACTATCTCATTAGCGTCTATCTTTCATGATATTAAGATGCTGCCTTTGAGATGCTAACTCACCTGTTCTTCTCCCAGAATCCTGAAGTGATGAAGCTCTTTAATCAAAGAGTCTGGACAGCCAGCTGTTGGAAAGAAACAAAAATAGGCATTTTAGAGCTTCAGTGTCAGTGTAGTTTCAGTATAAGATACATAGATGCAGAGAGGATAGAATACACAGATTACCTGAAACAAAGAAGATTAGAAAGATTAGCCATGGTTCTGCAAGCACCAGAATGCTGAAAAACATCCATCAGATAATCCTTCCACATTTCTGAGTACGCTACCAGAAAGACTTAGAAAGGTTATATTCCGAATATTTTAGCCCTCTCCCCAAAGGACTAAAAACAAAAGCAAGAAGAAAAGGGCAGCACTGTCTGCCAGATAACGCCAGGCCCGTAGTGTAAGACAAAAAGCCTGTTAAAAGAGGATCTCACATCAAAACCTTGGAGCTGGCCAAAGCTGAATTCTGATTCACAGACCAGGTTTGGACTCATTTCTAAACATAATACAAGCTTGCCCTGAGTCCCTGAAGGATTTCATAGGCTCTGCAGGCCCCACAGATCATTTTATTTTTGGCTGTCACAAATATAATACATTTCACAAACATGTAGATGTCACCCACAGGTATAATACACAAACCAGCTACACAGGCAGGGGAGCAATTTTCCAGAATTTTGTAATCAGATAAATATTCAGTTGCTATGGACCTTCACATCTGTACCAGCCAGTAAGAAATAATGTGTCTAGCTAAATGCCATGCACTTCACTGATCTGTTCAGACTGTGATTACCTTCTTGGTGATGAAATCCAAGGCTCCTACTTACTTTTGTTCACTACTACACTCATTTCTGGCAAGGGACAAAGTGCAGGCTGTGAAAGCAATCTGGGCTTTATTCTTTTTACCATAAATTGTAGAATCTGCTTGTGAACTGAGAAAACTCCTTTAAAGAAATTAAGAGCATGGTTCTCCCCAGAACAGGGAAGGAACTACAACCCGCTTTTCTGCTAATGCAACTACAGGTAGTTACCTCTCCCTGTTAATGTCTGCTATTAAAAAACAAAAATTAATTTGGAGACAGTTGTCAGAATATCTCCATCAGCACTCTGGCTTCACTCAAAGCTAATGAGGCATGGCCAACACTCACAACTTCTGTTGCCATAGCTGTCTTGGGGATACAAAGGGAAAAGCTTTTATATTTGCAAGCAACATAACCGAAAAAGAAAAAAATACAATTATACTAGTACAGGTCTTCTACTGGTATGAATTTAAATAATTAGGGAACTGATTTTAACAATATTTGAAACAGCTTCTTGCTGGTAAATGCTTTATCTCTATTCAAAGGAGGTCCAGGTGAAGAAATCACCAGCAACACAACTTCAACAGCAAGCTCTTTTAAAGGTAGCCAAGGTTTAAGGTGGCCAAGTTTTAAGCACAGTATAAGAATTAGCTATTAACAGCTTGTCTCTTACCATATATTACTATTTCTTCCAATTTAATAAAACCTATTACATCCTTAACAGGCTTCTTTCCACCAAGCTATTCCCTCCCCTCACACCTAAGGATACCAATATATTTGAATGTGTGAAGTTTAGCTCTGAGTTATTCTTTCTTAGTAGGTTTTTATTGTCCACAAATTCCAGGACCATAGGCCCTGTGTCACCTTTCTCTTTTAATTTCCACCACACTTAGGCTCTCACTGTTTATTCTGTATCTACTCAAAACATACTTAAAGTTGTCCTTACCGCTTCCACCACAGAATCACTGCTATGCAGCATCTTTGTGTTAGCTTTCACTAGGATTTACATCTCTATCTTCCAGCTCATCCAAACCCTGAATGTTTCAACTCTAAATGTCTCACTAACTTCTTCACCTGAGGCCTGGCTTGTAGTCCAGAGTTTTTGACTTCTGTGTATCTCGGATAAGAACTCACTGCCTAAAACACAGTTCCCTTTTCTTACCCTCCAGACCTGATGTAATTATTATTTTTTTCCCCATGTAATTTTCCCTGAAAATATCTGCATTGATTGTACACTGCTATAGGAACTTCTAACATAGAGGAAAATACAGATTTCATGTGATACTGTGTGTTGATCTTTGACAGATGTTAGCTTTGTAACATCAACTAAACTGTCTTTTGCTTGCTCAGCTTTTTGCAGTCTTTACAGCTGCTTCTTCAACCAATCATTTCTTTCTTCCACCTTCTCCTTTCCAATTTATTATTCACTAAATCCCTTAAGATGGGAAAGTTTCCTTTTTCTTGCCTATGCCTATTTCTCTTTCCATTCTTCTTGAAATCATTATTTCCTGAATGCCTGTTTCTCCCAGATATCCACCCCATTCTGCCCTCATGTATAATTTACATCATCTCCCTTATATGAACTGCTTAAATGCATCTTTCTTTCATGTTTGAGATGATAAGTACTTTGAAGACAAGAATATTTGTAAAAATTGTTTAAAAGTATGAAAATACATATGGACATATATATATATAAACATGTATAGGTTTATTTTAAGTGTTACTAGTTGTCCATTCTCTTCACAATAGAATATTTTGTATAGTCTATTTTTCAGAGACTTGACCAATCCACAATCTTTTCATAGTCCAGACTTTCACTGGATCTTGGAAGCTTATTATGCAAGTGATCCTGAAGTTACTAACAAAAGAGAAGGAGAAAGAGATTAAAAACCACGTCACTGTTGGCAGGATGCTTGACAGCAACCATGTGTTCGGAAATGTCAAATGAATGCAATATTGAATTATACTGACACATATTGAGAATCTGCTGTCTGTAAGCAGTGCTTTCCGACCTCCACATTACAGAAGCAATATCTGAAGAAACAATGGAAATTACTGTTGTCAAACAATAATTAAATAAAAAAAAAAAAAAGGAAATAAAGAAGAAACATGAGAAACAAAAAAAAAAAATAAGAAAGACTGAAACATCTTCTTTTCTTTTTGAATATATTTCTGGATGTTTTTGATGTTTCATACTTCTACTTTAATTTATGCTGTTCTGTAAGCAGATCTTTGCAAAATAAGTTCCAATGGTGTGACCCATTCTTATAAAATATCTGGGAATTTTAAAGGAGCCTTAGATGATGGAAAATTCCTGCATTGTGACTAGAGAAAAAAAGCTATAGACAAACAGCTGTTCAATAAGTAAAAAGAGATTAAAAAATACCTATTCTGCTGAAGAGCACTAAGAACTGTTTGTTGTCTTTCCTACAAAACCACTCATATGTCTATCAACATATTCTTGCACTTACAAACACACACAGAAACCTGAAAACTATTACAAGTTAAGCACAGCACCAATGGGTCACTGGCAAACTGTGCTCACTAAAGTTTAAAAGAAAAAAAGTCTTTTCAAAATCGCTGCTGTGCAACTTGTTCTTGCTACATGAAATAAATAATGTGCACTTACAGATTTTTGTTATTTTGTGTAGAATGCTTTGAGGATTAGTTTTTATGCCCTGTGTAGTACAGAAATTTATAATCAACAACCCCAACAATTACTGAAACTTTTAATCTCCCTTTTCCCAATTATTACTTGAAAAAGCACAGGCATACATGAAGTTTGCAGAGACATAAGCTGAACCGTAGGAATATTTAGATAAATAAATCAATAGCAATTACACATAAGAGTGTTAAAATCATGCAAAAGCATGGATAAATGCCTTTAATCAGAAGCCAGAACTCAGGATTGAGGACATCTGCAGACTGATAAAACGACAACTAAAGCATTTATTAGTTTCCTCTTTCAACTGACATTCAAATCTATATGATTCATATGTTCTTGGCTACAATGACTGTAACAGGCTTTTGCCTACTGTGGAGGCAGAGCAAGAGGAAAGAAATTTTAAATAAATGATGCAAATCTTTAGTATTTTCATACTGCTTTTTCCTGTGGCATAGCTCCATTGGCCTCAAAGCAATAAGACCCATAAAACTAATGTAATGGCTTAAGAGTGAGCCTAAGTCTAAGCAGGAAATTAAATTATGAAGGGATGATACCCAGTTCAAAGCACCAGCAGCTTCATAAACTCACCAGAAGTAATTTCTTTGCTTCTACTTAAGCAGTGATTACTGAAATTAAATTTAAGCATATTATTTGATTTTAAATGTTCTATCATACCCCAGATTACTTATTTGAATACTTTAGTTATTGCTTGATTCTCATATTGCTTTATTATTTAACTCCAAATACTGTGCTTAGGAATGAAGACTACATTCAAAGTTACAGAAATTTGCAACTGTAAATTTACAATTTACAATTTGGTATTCTCTTAAAAAAAAAAAAAAGTAAAGATATTTTAAATCTGTGCATATAAGGGTATGTATCTCCAAGAGAAACAAGCAAAATTTAGGAAGAACAGTTTAATAATGTCTCCTATCATAAATCCCCTGATTTAAACTGGTCTGAACACACATTTTCAGCTACACTTGTAATTAAACTATGATTCTGACTACTACCAATATAATTACCCAAGTCTTCACATATTTTTTTCTCAGACAGAATTAGCTTCTGGTTTTGCTTTTGCTTAAAATTATCACTTTGTGTGACTTATGTTCTCCAGTGAGAAGGCAAAGGAAAAATTAAATCAACCCTTTAATATTGCATAAACTGGCAAAATGAAAACATAAAACGACTGCTTTAATGAATACAGACAACTGAGAACAAATGCCAGTGCCAGGGCCCTGATGAGACTACCACCCATGGCTGTCCCTGCCCAGCCCTCCCAGGGCTCCCCATGACCCAGGACCTCATGGCAGAGCCTGGGAACATCAGCCCCTGCCCTGGCCATGTCACAGCAATACTGGTCTCCAGCTCCTCACAACTCTGCCCTACCTGGCCATGGAACTCCCAAGCCAGGCCCACCCATGAGCCCACATCCAAGCCAGGGCTCAGCCCATCCCTGTCCCTAGTACTCGGAGCTGCTCCTGTCTGGGGCTGGGATGGGACCTGGCTGCTGGGCCCTGTCCTGAGAGAACCCCCTGGTGAGCCCCCAGTGCCCCCAAGAAACCACTGGCCCTTTAGGCACCCAAATTTGACTATATATGAGCTTCCAAGAAAACACACC